AAAAAATTTTTTCCGTTTATAAACAAACTTGATTTAACAAAAAAATACAAATTTGTTACGTAAAAAGAAGATGTCTTACAGAAATATCAACAACAAATTTTTTGTTTTATCTCCGTATGAAAATATTTTTTTTATGTCACGATTTTTTTTTCTTTAAACTTTTATTTTTCAAGTCCGTACATTTTTTGAGTAAATAAATGATAAAATAATAATAATAATAATAATAATAATAATAATAATAATAATAATAATTCAATAAAAAAATATGAAAATAAAAAGTAGACAAATAAATAAGCGGAGGCAGAAAATTAAACAAATGAATTGATAAATAAATAAGAAAAAAAAAGTAAACAAATAAGTAAATAAATAATTAAATAAATAATTATAATAAATAATTATAATAAAGTCTTTAACGTCCGAGTAGTTCATAAATAAATAATAATAAATAAATAATTGATTTAATAAATAAGTAAAAGTAAAAAAAAATTTAGATAGAAAAGTAAAAATATTTAAATAAATAAGTAAATAAATAAATAATTTAACAAATAAATAAATAAAAATAAAAGAAAATTAAATAAATATTTATTCTCATTTGAAAATAATCAATTTTGCGAATTGCGAATAATGTTTGGTTTTCAAAAAAGTAAGAATGATGTAAAATATGATAATTGTTTAGACTCGGGTTTTTTTTTATTGGTATATTTTTCCTCTATATGTACAATGAGACATTGTAAATACCGTTTAAAAACGATTTGTAATGCAAGGCGTATATTATTCTTTTTTCTTCTTCCTTTATTTTCAACGGACTTCCCCGTTTTATTTCGAGAATACAAAACTTGTGTGTGCGAAAAGGTAATTCCCTTTGATTAAAAAAAAATTATCACAATGAGTTTTCTCACTAGAATATATATACAGTTACAATATTATATTATAAGTGATTTTCTCGTTAATTTATTTTTATCAATTACATCATGGAAATTATTGCTTTCCTAATAAATTCACTCATTTTCCTGTGCGAAGTATAAACGTACTTTAATAGTACTTAAATACTATATTTACGTGCGATTTTTCTTTCGAAATCAATTCCTAAACACAGCTCATCTTCATATCCGCCTTCTTTAGAATTTCCTGGTTAAAAATATTGAAAACAAATTTTAATAATGTAAAAGATTTTTTTAAATTATTTTAATTTATTTATTTTGTTTATTTACAAAATAACAGGAATTTACAATCTTTTTTTTTACTGTCTATTGTTTTTCTTATTTCTATTGTATTGTGTTTATTTTCTATTTTTAAATAAGGAAAAGAAGTCTTTTTGTTATTAGGTGCAATGAACATATTACGAAATTAACACAATAATTGAATTTTTTACTTTTCTGTCTTAAATTATAAAAATAAATTTTATAACAATTATAAAATAATTTTATAAAAATAAAAATTATAAATACAATTAATTTTTTCCGATTGAACTTTTTTTGAATATGATAAAATTTCCTTGAAAAAGGCATAATTATTTTATAAATATAAATATTAAGAAAAAAAAACACTCTACTAATAAATATTAAATATAAAAATTTTTTTTTTCTCTTCTGTAAATTTTTCTAATTTCTTGAATAATGAAAATGTGGAAAATTCCTCACGTTTCCTTTTGTTGTTCCATGTGATTTTACGATTAGACGCAAAAGAGTCATTTGTTTTCTAGATTTCACCTTTTTCTTTTTGAAAGAGAGAATTTTAGCTTGAATTTGTTTGAAGCATAATAGGGGAGAAAGCAGAAGAGACCACGAAATGTAGTTCATTTGAAAAAATTCTTGACTTCATAATTTTAATAAATTATTGCACACTTAGTGGGAATTTTATTAGTAATTACTTGACGAGTGCTTAAATTAAACATTAAACTTTTTATCGAGGAGAAAATTGTAAAAGTGTAAAATTTATATATGTTTTAAATTTATAAATTTTTTTAATTAAAAAAAGGAGTTAATAAAATTATTACTAAATACTAAATAGTAATAATAAAATTATTATAATAAAAATTTTCTTAATAATTCAAATTTAGAGGTATTATTATTTTTATTGTATATTTAATACAATAAAAATAATAATAACTCTAAATTTGAATTAGTAACAAAATTTTTACTAATTTTAAATAGTGACTCACTTTTTGCATTTGAATTAGTAAATTTTACTAATAAATAGTAATTTCTACTAAATTTTTAGCAGAATTTACTAATAAAATATTAATAAAAATAAAAAATACTTGTAAAATTAGTAAATTTTAGTATTAAATGGTAATTTCTACCAATTTATTAGAAAATTTACTAATAAATTATTAATAATAATAAAATACTAATGAAATTAGTAAATTTAACGAATAAATAATAATTTCTACAAATTAATTAGTAAAATTTACTAATAAAATATTAATAAAACTACTAATCAAATAAAATACTAATAAAGTTAGTAAATTTTACTAATAAATAATAATTTCTTCCAATTTATTAGTAAATTTACTAATAAATTATTAATAAAAATAAAATACTAAAAAAATTAGTAAATTTACTAATAAATTATTAATGAAAATAAAATACTAATAAAATTAGTAAATTTTACGAATAAATAATAATTTCTACAAATTAATTAGTCACTAATTCAAATTAGTAAACATTCTTACTAATTCAAATTTAGAACGAACGTTTAATAATAAAATTTGATTTTTGTTGAAATGGTTTTTTTATTTATTTTATATAATAATAAGAAAATAATAATAATAATAACAACAAATAATTGAAGACTTAAAATATAAGATGGTAAAAAAAATTTTTCAATTTCATAATTTTTTTTGTCTGTTTTTATAAAATTACTATTACTTTTCTCATTCTCTCAAATGTATTGGATCAAGAAGTATATATTAAAATTTTACAATGTCTAGATACTCAGCATAAATTGTGCAAATTGTTTATAGAAGAAAAAAAAATTAAGAGAATAAAAAAACATTGAACAAACCTTTAATAATAGATTTATAAAAAAAAAATTACATCATAACTCTCATAACAATCTCTATATTTTATTGTATAAATTAACTCAAGTATTTGTATAATATAGACGCCGCTTCTCCACAGACATATCCTTGATAATATAATTTAAAAAGAAAAAAAAAAGATTGGTATGGATAATTTGAGATGAGCGCAAATTCATTTTGCGAATCAATTATAAACAAGTCAGGTAAATTTCATACAGTAATTTAAAACCACAATTTAAAATAAATTATCTCTATTATTTTTTTTCTTATCGTTAAAAGGCTCGATTTTTGTTAGACACTTTGTTTTTTTTTTGTGTTTAAAAAAAGTAGTTCAAGAAATTTTCTATCTAGAAAATTTTGTCGAAAATTTAAAATAACTAAAATTTATTCTTAATTTTGAATTCATTATAATTACTTTTGTTCATTTACTTATTTTATTTTGTTATTTTTTCATTGTCCTTCGATTGCTTACAATTAATTTTTGATTTGAATTAAATAAATTTTTTTCTGAGTGTATTATTGTTATTATTATTACTATTATTATATACATTATTACTACTATTTTTATTAATTTTATTATTATATTAATTAATTATTATCTAATTTTAAATTTTAAAAAGAAATGAGAAAAATTATTCTTTTTTTGTTATTATTTATTAAAATAATTTTGTTTATAAAAATAATATAAGAATGTAACCTTCACATTTCAAGGGATGTTAAATGGCATTTGTGTGTGAATCATGGCATGTAATTAACGACCTTTCTCAAAGCACAATAATTACAATTAAACAGATTCCACTAAAGGATTCCAGTTTACGATGCAAAAAAAAAAAAATTCCAACGTACAATTATATAATAGTAATCTTTTAAAATATATTCCCTCAATTTAAGTGAATCATTTTTCCAATATAGATGAATGTACCGCACAAAAATAGTTTACCACACGGAGAGAAAAATCAAGCGTTTGTAGTAAGACATGGTCTATACTTAAAAAGCACGGCGCTGTTTATCCTCGATTTGTAGAAATCTATGCTAAAAGAGTATAGGTCTCTACTAAAAGAGTATAGGTCCTTACTCTTTTAGCATAGATTTCTACAAATCGAGTATAAACAGCGCCGTGCTTTTTAAGTATAGACCATGTCTTACTACAAACGCTTGATTTTTCTCTCCGTGCAATCATTCTGTTTATTTTTATTTTTATTTACTGGTGTCTATTCTGAGAATTGTAAATTTGTTGTTGAATTTTAATTTTATAATTTTTTTTTATTTTTATATCACAATATAATGTGTAATAAATAAATTTATTATTTATGCGCACGTATTGTTTTCTTTTCCGTATCTGATCGGAATGTTTACAACAGTAAACAGAATTTTAAATTACATATAAATTCGTATTGTTTATTAAGTAATTTTTCTAAAATAAATGTTATTTATTAATTTAAATAAGTATTATTTATTTATTTATTTATTTAAACCATAAATAAAGAATAATTATTAATAATAATAAATTAATATTATTTATAATATTACCAAAAAAAGCAAAGATTTGTTTTAGAAAAATTAAATTAAAATAATAAAAAATTACTTTCTTTAAAAAAAGTAAAACTGTAAAAAAATAATAATACAGTCATGTATTTTTGTCTAATTAATGATAATTATTTTAATGTTTTAAAATTAATTTTGTTAATTAATAACTAATGATAATTGACGTTATTTAAAAGTTTATGTCAACAATCAACTGATATTGTCGACTCGAAACATTTAAACAATAACGGAATTTAATAATTAAAACTGTGATTTTTTTAAACGAATTTAAACGAAATTAAAATAATTAATAATAATAAGATAATTAACCATTATTTAATTAAATTAATTATTAATTAAATAAAAAAAGACTTTTTAAAATTTTTTTAAATTTCTTTAGAATAAGAATTTTTGTTGATTTATTTTGAAAATTATCATTGAGAAAATCACTAACCTTTTAATTGAAGAATTTTTCTTCTGTCACTTATAAAGTATAAATAAAATGTCACACAAATATTTTCGACATCAGTTTGAAACAAAAAAAAAAAAAATTCTAATTGAACAAAAAATTTGTTAATTAAATTCTAAGTGAATGAATATAAAAGCGTAGTCACTCTTGTCGAACTGAACTGATTGATGATAATTGAAGGTTAATATATCATCACAAAAGGGAAATGTGACATTAAATTTTACCACCAAACGACCGGCGCGTGTGATATGAAAAATACTATATAAATGATCGGTGAGAGAAATTTGTGGGACAATTTATTATCATTAAGAAAAGTGATAGAGAGTTTATTTATAAAAGGAAAATTCACGTTTTAATTATGAATTAATCATATTTTGATAAGGGAAGATCTTTTCAATTTTGGGAGAATTAATTTTCTTTTTTTTTTTAATACTTTAAACTAACCGCACAGTTCATGCTCGATTCAACGCGGGCAGTTCACCCTGACTGACTTTGTTTTCGACCTTTCAGCGCGATTGACGTGTCTTACATCATTCAAGTTGCGAACTTAAGGAAAATGCATTACATTCACGTTGCTTTGAACACCTCCCTCCGTTATTATTGTTATTGTTTTGCTTGTAAGTTTAAAGGCAATTTCGTTTTTCTCACGCTCAACATAGTCGGATAATAAAGTGTTTTAATTGTTTCAATTCCACTTGTGCTGTCTGTCAATGATTTTGATTTATCTTTATGTTTAACCCATGTCTCAGATTGTACCACTTAGTCGAGTTTTTTCTGCATTAATATAAGAAGGGAATGTTACGACCGAGGTTTAGACATTTTTTTCAAAGGTTCAAAAATGCCACCTTTTTTGTAGAACAATAAAATCTTTTGAGGTTAAACTCGATTAATGATCGACAAATCTTGAGGGAAATTGGGAATCTCTTGAGAAATTTGAAGACTTTAGTCAAAGTGATTTTGTCAAATTTTCAAAAAGTTTTCTTGAATTAAATTGAATTGTCTTCAATTAAAAATTGAAGACAATTTTTAATGTAGAATGCAGTCTTTTTGGAATTACAATTGACGAAAACGATTAGGGCGAAAGTTTTCTGCGGAATTTTAGGCCAAAGTTGATCAGCGGTAAAATTACGAACACCAGAAATTTCGACAATGGATTCAGAAAGAAAACTGATTTTTAAAGAATGTCCTTTAGTTTTTTTAGGTCAAAATATGCTTTTAGGGTAAGAAACAATTTTTTTAAGGAAGAAAAAATTATGTCGAATGATTTCTATGAACATTTGGATCAAACTAAACTTAGAAGCAAAGTAAAAATACATTTGGGGAACCTTAGGAATTGATATAAAGCGATAAAGACCGATTTTTAAAAAATGTTCTGCAGTTTTTCGTACAGAATCCGTTTTTCTAGGTATTAAAAACAATTAAAAATTATCATCAGAGTTTTATGTTCACCTTTGGTCAAGTTCAACTAGCAGTGAAGTAAACTGTACTTAGATAAACTCAAAAATTATGATTATGCTAATTAGACCCATTTTTAGCCATTTTTATACAATTTTTGAACCAAACATCGGTTTTTTGGGAATAATAAGTAAAAAAAAAACAATTAGGACAAGTGTTTTTTTTGTTGATTTTCAAGTCAAGTTTGCCCAGCAACATCAAATTATGAAGTTGAAAAACTTTAGGACATAAGTTAAAGGAAGTTTAACCCATTCTTAGCCATTTTTATACAATTTTTGAACAAAATTCAGGTTTTTGGGAGTCTCAAGTAAGAAACAATTAGGGAAAGTTTTTTTCGTGGACTTTCAGATCAAGTTCTATCAGCAGCAATACACCATGAGGATGAAAAACTTTAGGATATAAGTTAAAGGAAGTTTAACCAATTTTTATACAATTTTTGGACCAAAAATTCGGTTTTTTGGGATTAATAAGTAAAAAACAATTAGGACGAATGTTTATTGTCAATTTTCAGGTCAAGTTTGACGAACAACATCACACCATGAAGTTGAAAAACTTTAGGACATACGTTAAAGGAAGTTTAACCCATTTTTATACAATTTTTGAACCAAAATTCGATCTTTTCTAAATTATAAGTAAAAAATAATTAGGGCAAGTACTTTTTGTGGACTTTCAAGTCAAGTTGGACCATGTCAGTTCGTCACCATGAAGTTGAAAAACTTTAGGACATAAATTAAAGGAAGTTTAACCCATTTTTAGTCATTTTTATACAATTTTTGAACCGAAAATCAATTTTTTTTTTGGGAATTATGAGTAAAAAACAATTAGGGCAAGTGTTTTTTTTAAAACTTTCAGGTCAAGTTCGACAAGTAACAACAAACTATGAAGTTGAAAAACTTTAGGACATAAGTTAAAGGAAGTTTAACCCATTTTTATCCAATTTTTGAACCAAAATTCGGTTTTTTGGTAATGTTAAGTAAAAAACAATTATTGCGAGGGTTTTCTGTGCAATTTTAGATCAAATTCAGCTAGCAGAAAAATACTACGAGCATGAAAAACTTCTGAATATAAATCCAAGAAATTGTAACCGATTTTTAGAAAATTTTACACAATTTTTTAATCAAACTTCGGTTTTTTTTGGGAATTATAAGTAAAAAAAATTAGGACTGGCATTTTCTGTTGATTTTACAGGATGTCCTCTACAGTTTTTAACGGAAAAGATAGTTTTCTGAAAACTGAAAGTAAACTATAGAATTATTTAAATAATTATTAATTAATAATTATATTATATTACTATATAGTTATAGTCATTATTAACATTAGTAATGTAATTATTATTAATCAATTACTAATTAATTAATGGCTTTTCTCGTCTATTTAATTTGATAATTAAAATTTTCTCCTCCAAATTTTGATAATTGAAAATTTTTGTTTATAGAGAAGAATATTTTGCAATTTTTGATTATTGTTATATATATCAAAAGAGACTGATCAAGATTAGTAGATATAATCTCCGCTCTCCTGCGTTGTAAAAAATAATTATATATTTATTTAATTAAGTGCTATATATATTGTCGTTAAACGCCTTTGATGTTAAACGACAAGCAAATATTTTATCCAAATCTCGTTACTAAGCGGGTATAACGAACTTGATAAAAACTGATAAGAAAAGCGGAATTTTCTATTTTATCGATTAGCGCCGTAAAAAAATTGCGAAATTTATCATCTATTACGTACATATTAATTTTAATAAACTTCACACGTATTATTTATTGCTAATAAAAAAAGTATCTTCAATGAAGTAAAGTATCTTCAATAAAGGAACTTTAAACTTCAATAAAGAAAATTTCTTTATTAAAGATGCTTTACTTCATTGAAGATACTTTTTTTATTAGCAATAAATATTTTCTATCATTAATGAGAAAAATATATTTTGAATCACTAATGAGAAAAGTATTTTAAATCACTAGAAAGTATTTTCATAGAGTCAATAACGTAATTAATAAATTAATAAATTTTCCACTTTTATATGCATGAAATCAACGATTTCAAAAATTTTTCGCATTTATTAATATACTTAACATTTTTATAATAAATTTTGAAATAAGTTACCTTTTGTAAATTAATTGGCATAGGTAAAAGTAAATGTATAATCTTTGGATGAAAATTAAAATTAAGCCGGATGTGTATTTTAAAAAAAAGAACAAGGTCCAGGAAAGGTCAGTTCCATCCAGTTGTCATTGAAAGTAGAAAGAAAAAATAACACCTGTTGCTTTCAAAATTAAAAAATTTGTATTGGAAAGTATTTTATTTTCTAATCGACTCCTTCGTCATGTGAACCTGACATTGAAATTTTTTATTTCCTGACATAAAGTATTTAATGACTTCACACTAGTCTCTAATCGTAATAAAGCTTTCCAATTATAATAATTTAATATGCACCAAGTTTCTATGTATATTGACAAACTGATTAGCATAATTCGATCTCAATATTAAATATTTTTCTTTTTCTACAAAAATTTGAAGATGGGGAAATTTTTACTTTTTTCGTATTAATAATTAATGCATTTTGCTTTTTTATTATTTCTATTCTTATTATTAATTTATATTCTATTTTTCAAAAAAAAAGAATAGAAATTTTAATTAATTAATTAAAAATTTAATTTAATTAATTCGTAATAATTAATAATAATAGACAATAATAAATGACAGAAAATAATAATAACTGTAAACAAATTTTCTAATTGTTGTGCGTGTGAAATTAAGCGAAACTCTAAATAACCTTTCTGAGATACATTTGAAAAGGAAGTTTATTAATGTACTTCAAGTGCAAGAATAAATTTAATATAGGAAAAAGAGCGTGAGAGACTGAATTTGCCCGAGAAGCAATAGCCTTGTATGGAGAGAAAGGTTTTAGGGAGTAAAATATTATCTTTATAACAAATATTTTTGTGAAAGAGATAGAAAAGAACAACCAAAAGAATTTGATTGAACAACAGTAATTCGATCTATTCGCAATAAAAAAAAACGAATGTAGAATCGATTTGAGTAATCAAAAATTCAATAAATCGATTTTATATATAGCTATATCATGCTGGCGTGATTAATTTTTTTTTTTTCGTTAAAATATATTTTACGAAAGCACGTTCGAACATATAATGTTTTCTCGTGATTATTATTTAGTAATATTATTTTAAAAAAAACGTATTTAAGTATCTACAGCACGTGAGAGTAATAATTTTTATCTGAATATGGTTTTAATTTAATAATATTTTGTAACATTTCATAATATTTTTGTAATTAATTATAAATTAATAATTAATTAATTTAAATTTGTATGACTGACTTTTTGCTTTTAAATGAGTGAATTTAATTTAATTTAATTTAATTTAATTTAATTAATTAGTTAATTAATTAAAATTTGTATGACCGACTTTTTGCTTTTAAATTAGTAAATTTAATTTAATTTGATAAATTTAATTAATTAATTAATTAATTAATTAATTAATTAATTAATTAATTAAAATTTGTATGACTGATTTTTGGTTTTGAATTAGTAACTTATTTGTCTATATTATTTTATAGTTTAGTCCTGTGTTTTTTTTCATCATTAAAATGTCACGTGTGTTTGAAAAGAAACTTTTAATCGATCAATTAATTTTTTTTTTAAATATGAATCGTTTATTCTCAATTTATGAATTGAATTTTTTTGTATTAATTAAAATAGAAATTTATCATTAGAATGAGCCCGCAATACTTTTAAATTTACTCTCGAGAAAGAAATGTATATAATATAGAGGAGAAAGAGACAAAACATATAATGAATAAATCTCACGTTTATAAATATCAGCAATTCTTTAGCACGTGTCCTTGATAATTGTAAAGTGATGCAAGTTAATTGAAGTAAATTAACGATGATGAGGAATTTTTATATAGAATTTCATTCATCGACTTATGTTTTATTTCGATTTTCTAAATGCGTCTATTTTCTCTTTTTTCTCCTTCAGCTGAAGTGGAGGAACATTTTTTTGCTCTGCTCGTTTTGAATAATTTTTATTTTTTTGGTACACTGAATATTTACTATTCTGTGTTTATTATTTATTTATCATTTATTTTTCGGTTCAAATAAATTTTATTTGGTTCAAGTAAAAATTTTATTTGCTCCAAATAAATTTTATTTGGTTCAGGTAATAATAATTTCAGGATAAAATAAATTTCATTTGTTTAAAATAAATGTTATTTGCTTTAAGTACATATATTTTATTTGGTTTAGGTTAAAAGTTTTGTTCGATTAAAATAAAAATTTTTGTTGGTTTAAATAAATTTTATTTGGTTCAGGTAAAAATTTTTGTTGGTTTAAGTAAACTTTCAATGGTTCAAATAAATTTTATTTGGTTTAGGTAAAAATTTTTGTTGATTCAGTTAAAAAACTTTGTTGGTTCAAATAAATTTTATGTGGTTCAGGTAAAAATTTTTCTTGCTTTAGGTAAAATTTTGTTGGTTCAAATAAATTTTATTTGGTTTAGGTAAAAATTTTGTTGGTTCAAATATAGTTTTTTTTGGTTTAGATAAACATTTTTGTTGGTTTAAGTAAAATTTGGTTAATTCAAATAAATTTTATTTGGTTCAAATAATAATAATTTTCAGATCAAATAAATTTCATTTGTTTAAAATAAATTTTATTTGGTTCAAGTACGAATTTTATTTGGTTCAGGTAAAAATTTTTGTTGGTTGAAGTAAAAATGTTTGTTGGTTCAAATAAATTTTATTTGGTTGAGAAAAAATTTTTGTTGGTTTAAGTAAAATTTTGTTGGTTCAAATAAATTTTATTTGGTTCAAGTAAAAATTTTTGTTGATTCAAGTAAAAATTGTTGTTGGTTCAAATCAATTTTATTTGGTTCAAGTACAAATAATTTCCGGATCAAATAAATTTCATTTAGTTAAAATAAATTTTATTTGGTTCAAGTACAAATTTTTGTTGATTCAGTTAAAAAATTTGGTTATGGTTTAAATAAATTTTTCTCGGTTCAGATAAAAATTTTTGTTGGTTGAAGTAAAACTTTGTTGGTTCAAATAAATTTTATTTAGTTGAGGTAAAATTTTTGTTGATTCAGTTAAAAAATTATATTGGTTGAAATAAATTTTAGTTGGTTGAAATAAATTTTTTTTGTTTCAAATAAATTTCATTTGGTTCAAAATTTGTATTTTACAATTTTATATTATGAAATTGTTTTGTCATATTGAATAGAAAAAAAAGAAAAGCAAAAAAAAAAAATTTTTTTTACATATCCGGAAATGAGAGTCATGGCGATTGTGAATAATTAGACATTTTTTATGAACAATTAAAAGGTCGTAAAATTTGGTAATTTACACAGACGAGACCATCGTTTAGTTTCTTTAACTATGTATAATATTTTCTTCACAAAGAACAATGCTTCGTTATCCAAGTGGAACGAGTCACATTTTTTTTTCTTTTTTTTTCAAGAGAAAGTGCTCGCAATCTTTTGAGTTTATTATTAATAATTGCAATTTTATAAAAAAAAAATCAATATCAAATTTAAAATATTTGTTAAATATTATAAAAAGTTTTTTAATAAAATGAAATTCAATAAAATACAATAAAATATAAAAAAGAAAATAAATAGCAATCTTTCTGTACTTTTTAATTACTTTTTAATTTTTTTGTTTTTTTATCAAAAAAGTGAATTATTTTTTTTTTTCAAATTTTATTAAATTTATTTTTAAATTCTGCGCACTAGCGATTAAAATATTTATTTTGAAATGGAAACATTTTGGCGATTTTGAAGGAATTTATTGGGGTATTAAAAAATTCCCATTAAAAAAAAAAACAGATGAGTAAACCAATTTTTGTTTTGTTTTCAATAATAAATATTCTTGGAAAATTGTCTGTGCGAATAGATAAAAAAATTTTTTTATTTTTTTTTAGTTTTTATCGATTTTTATTTGACGATTTAATTCTCGTCAAAAATCGACTCAAAATTTCTGAGGAAAAATGCGTCGGTGGCAAAATTTATTGTGAAAATATACACAAGTTTTTTTAACATTAGGATTATCAATTTTATCATCATAGGCGATTAAGAAAAGCTTATCGCCGTTTAACGCCGATGTTAAATTTTTTAATATATAATAATCACTTCGCAATATTGATACGGATCATTATTAAATTTCTCAAAAAAAAAAATTGTAGTAAATTTTTTTTTTAATTGTTTGATAGTGAAAATATAAATTAGCTTATAAATAAAAAATTTTTTTGTTATAAAGTTGGTATATTTTCTTGTTACAAATAAAGTTTGGTATATTTTTCTTGTTACAAACAAAATTTGGTATATTTTATTGTTATAAAAAAATTTGGTACTTTTTTTTGTTACAAACAAAATTTCGTGTATTTTTCTTCTTATAAACAAAAATTTGGTATATTTTTCTCGTCACAAACTAAATTTGGCAAATTTTTTCGTTACAGATAAAATTGGTACATTTTTTTAAAAATAAATTTGGTATTGATTAATTTGACAATTTTGCAGCTTCTATGTAGTAACTTTGAAAAGTCACTGACCTTGATGATCCAATGCTGATACTTTAATTTCTTTTTATTGATTGCAAAAATATTTCTCAATCGAATTTTTTTTCTCATTTTTTTTGGTAATGTAGGTTACTCGTATCATTTTTTTGTCGTAAGAAAAATTTATCCTTTCGAAAAATCTCTCATTAATTACTCCACGAGGTTTTGTATATATTTTTATTTCAAATTTTCATTTCTCAACAAGAAGGTAGATTAGTTTGCAGTTCTACAGGCGCATTGGAAGATACAGTCTCGATGGAATTATTTTGTTTAAATCCACGTCAAAACAAACAATATTTTTAATTTGCATTATTTTAAAAATTTTCTGTGATTAAAAATTATTTTTCACTCAATGCCAGTAGACAGGAGGCGTACGTAAAAGCAGTTATAATTATCTGTCATAAATTATTTATCATTAGTTTTTGAAAATATTAATTTTTCTAAATACTTTTCGAACTTAATTTATTTTTTGTTGATCTTAATTTTTTAATTTAATTAAATTTATTAATTTTAATATTAATTAATTAATTTTTCTTTAATAAGATTTAACATTATTTTTTCTTTAATAATATTATCAAAATAAAAAAATAAATAAAAATAAAAAAAATTGTATGAGAATTATGGAAGAAAAAAGGGACGATAATTAATTACGAGAATAAAATGCAATACTTACACTTTTGTATGTTGCTAAGGACATGATAAAATAGTGTCCTGCCTTAAGTTCGAATGGCTTGTTTGATCGTTGAATTATAATAATTAGCAATCGTCTGCATTTTACGTTCATATTGTACCATGGTATTTCGCCAACTTCACGAGAAATTGATGTACTCTATTTTTCCAAGACAATAGAAATTGAAAATTAATGGCTTTTTCAAAAAATTAATGATCTCAATTTTTAAAATTAGTGGAAGGAATTTTTACTGATTTTTATTAATTTGGATTATTATTTAATTAAAAAAAAAGTTCCACCTTCTCGATGATATGCTCCCCGAGTTTGCAATACATGAAAACATTAAATGTTGAGAAAAAAATGTAAGACATGTAACTAAGCAGACCAAAAAGATTTCCAGCATAAGTTGCCTGAAATTTACCATCATTAACAAACAATCAGAATTTATTTTTTTACTATTTTGACTCAAAGGTATTATTTTTTTTACATTTGGGTCAAAATAGTAAAAATTAAATTACAATTAAAAAAAATTTTTAAAAACTTACTTTGACAATAATGTAACCCTGAACACATAAAATAAATGCATTGCTAGTGAATTGTAAAAACATGATAATGTTGAATGAATCCTGTATTATTTTTAAATTCCTAAAGGAAAAGAAGAATAGAAAAATGGAGATAAAATAGAAAAATAGAAAAATATTTATCCAAAAGGCTAAAATTAATAATCTTCTTCGAATACCTTCGTAACTGAACATGATGTTCTATAATGCATTTAAAACAATTACATTCCCCGAATTCCATTACTTTCAAACGACAATTTACATTTTTGTAATCCCAGTGTCTTATATTATTGACAATTATTTCCAACTGACTAATCAAGTGAAGTACAATAATAACTAAAAAGGAATCAGAGGCAAAGATCGTGAGGCACAAATATAAACAGACAACAGTTTGAAAAAGATACAGAATTTCATAGTTCGGAGATGTTTGAAAATCGAAAGAAAACTTTGATTTGAAAACAAGTATTCTCATTTTATCACATAGTGCCATTTGTTTCCATTGAAGATACATTGGAGAGATGACATAAACTAAAAATAGAATAAAAATAAATTTTAAATAAATTTTGAACTTCTATTTCTGAAAGAGAAATACAGTTATTAAATTGAGACAAAAAACAAAGCAAAAGCGAGCAAAAGTCATTCTGATATCTGCAGAAAAACTTTATAATAAAATTTAATTTAATTAATAAACATTAATACAAATAATAAAACTTACCAAATGCTGCAAAGAATAGTATAACAAAAAAGAAAAGATTAAGTTTCCTTCCGCAATATGCATTTGAAATGAAAATTTTCTGAACTCTTCTATCAAAATTTGGATAATTCTTCCAGTCGTGGTACATGGAGTCAATAATTACTTTTAAATTCTTTTTATGCAGTTTTAGAATAATTAATCTTGAGATGCATGTTAGCATTGTGAGGAAGAGAATAAGAGCATCTAAATCTTCTAAAATATTTTTAGTCGCTGATAGGTAGACGTAAACTGGTATTGCCGATTGCATTATTATTAGAATTGAGAGAAAAAATAAACAGTTTGCAAGTGGACTATCTTCTGTTGGCCATAGACCGAAAAATCGCATACTCCAACGGTTGTAGTTTACCGCGTAGTCAAAATAGTTTTGCACTTTTCTCTCGCACATTTTTTAAACAACTTTTCGTTTATCTTTTGTTTATCTTTCGTTTGATTCCAATAAAAGATTAGAGTCAATTTAAAAAACGATTTTTGGGTATTAAATCAGATTTTGGTTCGATTTTAATTTTTAATACCTCAAATCAACTTCCAATTTTTCGCACGTTCACAGTAAAAAAAAATTACAGCAGTTTTTCAAAGTTTATCAAATTGAGAAAAAAGGCATAATTTCGGAGAGGACTCAGATATCTAGTCTTTTAGTTCGACTAATACAATTCAGTACCTTAATGGCAGTGTTATTAAATATTCAGAATTTAATTATACCCGGCGAGGAAAATTGATCATAGCTAATTAAACACATCTTGATGCAAGAAGAAAATATAGGGCATTAAAATTTAGTATGGTTTGTGTATGGTTATTGTATCAAAATATCAAATTAATATGAAAGATAAATTCGAAATTAGTAGATTTCAGTGTTTACTCAAGTCTTATGATAAATAGACGATTTTTTTACTCGACAGGTTCGACACGAAAATTATATGCAAACAGATATTCATGATCTAATGTCATTATTTTCATTTAAGACCATTTTGTACGCCTTGTTATCGATGTCTTTTTTTTAATATTAGCAAATTTGTTGAATTTTGCTTCTTAGATGAAGGAACTAATTAAAATTTTATAAATATTTATCTAGTTTTTTGGTATAGTTTAAAATTATTCGACGCTGTGCATTTCTGCTAAATTTAAATATTTTTAATGTTTGTAAATATAAAACCTTAAATTTTTTCAATTTCTGACAAAAAATTTTTATCAAAAAACTTAATTCTTGAAAAATTATTATAAAATAATGATTTAGGTACTAATTATTTAATAAATAATTTTAATTAAAAATTATTTTCCTGCTTTTTTCCTTAAATTTCGTGCAAAAACAAACAACTTTGTTTTTGCAACAACAACACTTTTCCGTAAAACAAAAATCAAAAAAGTTATCACAGTTTTCCAGAAAAGTACAGAAAATTGAGATTTCTTTGCTCAGAAAATTTCAAACCTTGGTATTTTTCTCAATTTTGAATAAAATTTGTTTTTCAGCTCTTTTTCATAAATTTTGTGCAAAAACAAACAACTTTGCTTTTAAACACTTTTTCGTTGGACAAAAATTAAAAAAGTTACAAAAAGTTTTCCAGTAAAGAACAAAAATTTGAGATTTCTTTGCTCAGAAAATTCCAAACCTTGGTATTTTGCTCAATTTACAATAAAATTTGTTTTTCTGCTCTTTTCCATAAATTTTCTGCAAAAACAAACAACTTTGCCTCTAAACACTTTTTCGTAGGACAAAAATAAAAAAAGTTTACCAGAAAAGTACAAAAAATTGAGATTTCTATGCTCATAAAATTGCAAACCTTTGTATTTTTCAAAATTTTCAATAAAATTTGTTTTTCTAATCTTTTCCATAAATTTTGTGCAAAAACAAACAACTTTGCCTTTAAACACTTTTTCGTAGGACAAAAATCAAAAAAGTTTTTCAGAAAAGTACAAAAAATTTAGATTTCTTTGCTCAGAAAATTCCAATCCTTGGTATTTTTCTCAATTTTTAATAAAGTTTCTTTTTTTGCTCTTTTTCATGAATATTGTACAAAAACAAACAACTTTGCCTTTAAACACTTTTCCGTAGAACAAAAATCAAAAAAGTTATCACAGTTTTCCAGAAAAGTACAAAAAATTCAGATTTCTGAGCTCGGAAAACTTCAATCCTTGAAAATGATGAAAATAATTTTGAAGAAGTTTTAGAAACACTATTCTTATAAGGTAAAATAATGATTTTATCATTTGGTTATCTTCAATTATTATTATATGTTTCTGAAACTTAAAAAAGTTTGAATTTAAATGTTTTGAAAATTTTAATTTCTATGGAAAATTAATAATGATGAAATATGTATTTTAAAAAGAAGTTATTAATGTTTTTGAATAATTTTACAATTAAAGATATTCGTAAATAAATGTACTGGAGCATTTTTTTGAGTATCTAATAATTTTTAGAGTGCGAATCAGAATATTCTTTAGGGTCAGGGAAAATGTGAAAATTTTGTCTGGAAGACAGAGAAGGAAAAACATATTTTAGATTTTGTGGTAATCCTGTTATCGTCAATTTTATAGTTTACTGTTTTATCAGCTGGTGGCGATAGTTGGAATTGTAATTTGAAGCTTGACGAGAAACCTACATTATCTTTCTTTCTCGGGTAGGTAGATATCTCCTGTTTAGCCTTATCAAAATACCAACAGTTGCAAAGAACAAAATTCAACTACCAAAATTCTCTTAGGGTAACCATAGTATTTTATTATTCACAGTAGGTACGTCTGTAAAAGATGTTCAGTTGCTAAGAATTTGTCACTAGTGTCTAAATTTGTATTTTGGTTCGAATTTGTCTAAATAATAGTATAATAAACATTATATCAGTATATAGTATTAAATATATTTAAGTTATATTTATTTATATTTGTACCTATTTATTTCGGCTTCTTATTTATTCTTTATTTTTTGTTTCAGAGGTAAATAATGCAAATTTGAGATCAATCATCAGCAAAAAATTTGAAGGGAAATTTATCAACTTCTGACGAGAGTGAGTTTTTTTTTATCTTTTTTGTGTTAATTTCGATGTTTATTTTATTATTTTAAAGTTAATTTTGTCATTTCAAACATCATATATGATGTTTGAAAACTATAGTTTTCCTAAGGATATATCAAATTGAGACAAAAAGAATAAAAATTGTTGCATCAGAACAATTTTGATCCGTTTTGTCTCAATTTGATTTTCTAAGGAAAACTGGGAGTTAAAAGGTTCTCTGATCCCTAGAAGGAATTAAGGAATTAATTATTTTCAAGAATTGAATACGAAGAAAGTCATTTGAAATTATTTATTCAATTAGAATTTACCATACATTGTAATTTTAAAAAATGCTTAAAACTGTAACATGTATTATTTAAGAGATACTTTTTTTTAAAAGGCTTAATTTTATTTAGAGGTGTAGTAATTAGTTTTAATGAAAGGCATTTTTGTAATAACGGCCTTGTAAACTTTTCCTCGTACTTGAACAAGGACAGAATTGCCATTCTTCGCTATGGAGGGAGGCACATAGCCCATGGCAATTGATCTTCCAAGAGTAGGACTTGGCCCACCGGAAGTTACTTTACCCACTCTTTCGCCTTCAGGTGTTAAGATTTCAGCTCCTTCTCTCGCCGGTGGTCCTTGACCCATTGAAAGGCCAATTCGTTTCTTCATCGCACCCGATTTTATTTGCGAAACTATATTTTCTGCTCCTGGAAAATTGCCCTCTTCTCTACGTCTTTTAGCTTGAAAAACAATTTTATTATCAACCAGACATTCATTGAAAATAATTGAATTTGGAATATTTTTCGAAAATAATTGAATCGTTTTTCTATCTGTTGGTTAAAGTAAATCAATCGGAACTGGGGAAAAAATTGTAAAATTAGAAAAACTCTTGAAATACAAACCGACGAGCCAAGTGAGAGCAGCCTCGACAGGGGTTGTAGTTTCATCGATGTCGTGTCCATAGAGACAAAGACCAGCCTCCAGTCTGCGGAAATTGGTGGAAAATAAGAATAGCACCACCCACACACCTGTGGATCGCCTACCTTAAACTATCCCTTGCTCCAAGTCCCGCGAGTTTCACGTCTGGAATTTCCAAAATTCTCTCAACCAATTGAGCGGCTATTTTTTCTGGTACGGAAATTTCGAAACCATCCTCGCCAGTGTAACCGCATCTTGATACTCGGATTTTTTCACTCATCATTTCCGTTTCAATACTGTTCATAAATCGAAGTTTCGTTAGGTCTCGTTTTAAAACCGATTGCAGTGCATTTGCTGCCGATGGTCCTTGAAGGGCGATCAGACCCCTCTCGAGGGGATCGAGGAAATTTATCTTCACGTCTTTTCCATTTGCTGTTAATTCATCCTATTTGAAGAGAAAGTTTAAATTTTTTTCATCTATTTTCGGTTATTTGGTACTTTTATTATTGTTGCTAGAAAATATTTAAGAGATATTTACTTTCTTCTCTAGTAGAAGTTGTAAATCCTCCTTTCGTCGTCCAGCATTAGAGACAACAAAGTATTTGTCATTTTGATCTTTGGTAATAATCAGGTCATCCAAAATCCCTCCATTACGATTGGTAAATACGGTGAGGGTTGAAGATCCTTGACCGAGATTCTTAAGATCACTTGTGGTCAAGGATTCGAGAAATTCTGTTGAGTCTCTGCCGGTTACATGCGTTTGTAACATGTGTCCAACATCGAATAAGGACGCGAAATTTCTCGTGTGTTGGTGTGATGCAGCTATTGCCTCTTTATACTGCACCGGCAATAACCAACCGGCGAAATTCACGATTTTGCCTGAGGATAAAGAATAATTAATGCAGTCCTCGAATTTTTCTTTTTTCTTTTCTTTTTTTTTCATTCGCTCTCATTGCAACAACCAACGTTTACGAAATGAGAAAACAGACAGTGTATGTAGAACGAAATCTTGATTATATTTATTCGTTTCAGAATCATGGTCGTAAATTAAATCAGCATTCGAAAAAATAATGTTTAACGTCATTATAAATTAAATTAATAATAATAATAATAATTAAGATTAATTATCGTGCCAATCAATCGAAAATTTAATTTCATTATTTATTTACTTGTTAATTAGTTAATAAATTATTTAGTTATTAATTTATCTATTTAAAGTTCTCTTCAAGATTTAAATTTATGTAAATAACAAAAATGAAATTTATTAGTAATTAAATTTATAAATCTATTCTCAATGTAATTTATCCAAATTTTAATTCTATATAAATTCTAATTCTATTCGAATTACAATTCAATACAAATTTTAATTATATGCAAATTTTAATTTTACGTTAATTTCAATTCTATACAAATTTCAATTCTAAACGAATTTAAATTCTACACAAAATTCAATTATATCCAAATTTTTATTTTACGTTAACTTCAATTCTATACAAATTTTAATTCTAAACAAATTTCAATTCTAAACAAATTTCAATTCTACACAAAATTCAATTCTATACAAATTTTAATTCTAAACAAGTTTCAATTCTAAGCGAATTTAAATTCTGTACATATTTCAATTTTATGGAATTTTATATTTTACTCACTGAAACATTCTCTATACAATTGCAATAATTTTAATGTTGTTAAAGATATTATATCTTCAAATAAAATTATAAATAAAATTGTAAAAATAAATAATACATAAAATTGTAAAAATATATAAAATTATAAGTAAATAAAATTATAAAAAAAAATTTATAAATAAATTATAATTAATGAAAGTAAAATTAAAACAAATTATGAATAAAAAATCTGATTTTTGTCAAAGCTGATAAAAAAAATTAAAATACTAAAAGACGATTAATGACAGAATATTCATACTTAAGAGTATTTTAACTCAAAATAATTTTTTTCCAATAGTTTATAATTAAATACTTTAAAATTTTAATTTTTTTTCTTTAAAATTGACAAAACTTACCTTGATATTTAACATGCAAATCATAAAGACATGTTTTTCTCGCCTCCTGCGTCGATGCGAATCGTCTTCCATTATTAATAATCCTCTCCAAGAGTAATTTTTCTCCAAATTTTAAATTAGAAAAAATTTTCATAGTTCCACAAAACATCCTTTTTCAATTTTAATTCACTAAGTACTGAGAAATTTGTATTCGAATCTTAAAAGAAAAGTACAAAAAAGAAATATTCACGCAACGGTCGTGATCTTTTGCGTTCTTCATTGATAATAACCAAGTTAAAGTGTCTAAAAGATAAATTTTGTTTTCTCCATAATTTAACGTTATTATACTATATCGCTGATATCGTATAGGAACTTAAATGAGAAAAGGTCACAGAACTAAATCGATAAAACATCACTAAAAAACTAAATAGAATTTATTTTTAATTCAATCGTGATTTGCTTTATTAAATTGAATTTCTATATTAAAGTAAATTTTTATTAAATTCAATTTTTTGTAAAGAAAATTTTTATTCGATTCAATTTTTATTCAATTTAATTCTTATTTGATTCAATTTTTATTCGATTCAATTTTTATTAAAGTAAATTTTTATTCAATTGAATATTTATTCAATTCAATATTTATTAAATTTGATTTTTATTCGATTCAATTTTTATTCAATCCAATTCTTATTCGATTCAATTATTATTCAATTTAATTTCAATTCGATTCAATTTTTATTCAATTTTGATTTTTATTAAATTCAATTTTTATTCAACTTGATTTTTATTCAATTCAATTTTTATTCAATTCAATTTTTATTCAATTCAATTTTTATTCAATTTGATTTTTTTTTCAATTCAATTTTTACTCAACTTGATTTTTATTCGATTCAATTTTTATTCAATTATATTTTTATTCGATTCAATTTTTATTTAATTCAATATTTATTCAAGTCAATATTTATTCAATTTGATTTTTATTCGATTCAATTTTTATTCAATCCAATTCTTATTCGATTCAATTATTATTCAATTTAATTTCAATTCGATTCAATTGTTATTCAATTTTGATTTTTATTCAATTCAATTTTTATTCAACTTGATTTTTATTCGATTTAATTTTTATTCAATTTGATTTTTATTCAATTCAATTTTTATTCAATTCAATTTTTATTCAATTCAATTTTTATTCAATTTGATTTTTTTTTCAATTCAATTTTTACTCAACTTGATTTTTATTCGATTCAATTTTTATTCAATTTGATTTTTATTCGATTCAATTTTTATTTAATTCAATATTTATTCAATTCAATATTTATTCAATTTGATTTTTATTCGATTCAATTTTTATTCAATCCAATTCTTATTCGATTCAATTATTATTCAATTTAATTTCAATTCGATTCAATTGTTATTCAATTTTGATTTTTATTCAATTCAATTTTTATTCAACTTGATTTTTATTCGATTTAATTTTTATTCAATTTGATTTTTTTTTCAATTCAATTTTTACTCAACTTGATTTTTATTCGATTTAATTTTTATTCAATTTGATTTTTTTTTCAATTCAATTTTTACTCAACTTGATTTTTATTCGATTCAATTTTTATTCGATTCAATTTTTATTGAAGTAAATTTTTATTCGATTCAATTTTTATTCAATTTGATTTTTATTCGATTCAATTTTTATTAAAGTAAATTTTTATTAAATTCAATTTCTATTATGGCCCTGAATTTAGCATCGACTCTTAACATCAAAAACTATTTTTTTTTAATTTTTAGAGATAAAAATGTGATTAATTTTAAATTTTATTTCATTCATTTACTCCGGGAGTTAAAAATATGTTCAGTGTACTTTTTTACCACAAACTTAAAAAAAAAAAATTGAAAACGATTTAAAAAAAAAATTCTTTTCGACACTAAGCGTCGACCCTAACTTCAGGGATATTTTTTTTAAAGAAAAAACACAGTTTGCTTATTAAATTTTTATTGTACCACGTAATAATAGTAATAATAATAATAATAATAATAATAATAACCATAAAGATGATCGCAATAATAATCGCAATAATCGTCATCAATATGATAATAATAATAATAATAATCGTGATAATAATGACAATAATAAAAGGTATTAATAATAATAATAATAATAATAATAATAATAATAATATTAATAATATAATAATAATAATAATAATCATAAATTGTAATAATTAATAGTTCGCAATAATGGTAATAATCAATAATCAATAATGCGACAATGTCAATATTGTAGTAGCGTGTCGAACGGAGAAACGACGTATCATTATCTATATATATATTTTATATATATATATATTTATATATATTATAAAAAATAAAAAGGATAACGAAGACAGTAGTATCAATGTTCGTTCGTACATTTTGTTTTCCGCCCTTTCTGCGATTTTTTTTTTTTATTTGTTTAAATAGCTTTTTTTTTTTGCTTTTTTCCTTAAGTTCTCGTGTTTACACAATTAATGCAAAATGTCCCTACAGTCCGACGAATATGTGCTTTTAGTCGTTCTTTGCTCGATGCTTTCCCTCTTACATTTATTAACACATTCATTCATTCACTTGGATGATGTCGGTTGACTTGGAAAGAATAAGATTTTTTTTTTCGGGGATTAAAAAGGATTTTTAGGGATATATTTTTAATGATGAGACTCTAAATTGATACTATTGGTAAATTTCTTGGTGGTTAAAATAAGGGAAAAATTTCTGTAACGAAAAAGTTGTGAAAAATTCTGTGAAAAGATAAGCGAGAGCGACAAGTGACATACGTCAATCGGCAGTTGCTGATTCTTCGCGGGGATGAGAATCATTTTTTAAAAATTGGATGTGAACGATTTTACATTTTGTTTTGTTTTTTTTTTTTTTTTGTGGAAAATATTAAAATTTTTGTTTTTTTGAAAAATCGTTCTCGTCCGAAAATTAATGGATCGACGCATGTCACTGTCTTTTTTTTATTATCCAGTTCTATTTTCTGTGTGTATATACGAGTGAAAGATGTAAAAATCCGTTTTATTGTATAAAACAAAAAAGTCACGATATCAGAAATGAAACCAGAAAATTAAATTCGAAGGTGCACCGAGAATATTGTTTTATTGTTACGTCCCTTTTTTCTGCTTTTCAAAAAAACTAAGCAAGCTCTTCTTTTTTTTCACATCTTTCCCCCTCGAGACTTAAATTTTGCCCTAAAAAAAAAACTTTCTTTACATTATTTTTACATCTTAACTTTTTTTTCTGAAATTTTTTTTGTCTCGAAGAAGAAATTCGTGGTTAAGATATAAGAAAAGAAGAAATAAGGTACACAATATTTACAAAAATTTTTTTCATTCGAAATTTACGTCAAAAGACGTGTTTTTTTTTTGTTATCAGGAAATGGGGGGCTAGGGAGGAATTGGGGGGAAATTCAGAAATCGCTTCTGCCAACATACAATGTACAATCATTTTCATTTTTTTGTTTTTTTTTTATCGAGGAACCTTCGACTAATAATTCCAATTTAAATTTTTCTCCCTTAATTAATAATTTTTTTTTTCGCCTAAACGGTTCATTTTCTCCTTAACTATACAGTATCTAATAATCACGACTCAAATACAATTATCATCACCCTTTTGAATATAGATACAATAATTTGTGTTTTTTTTTGACCTTTTACATTATATATACTCACAATAATTATTCAGTTTTGGAGGTCATCGTATATCTATATATATATATAATTTATAAAATGAAAATAGGTACAATTTTGGACGCTTTTTTCACATCATTTTTACTTGAGAAAAAAGGCTCCGAAAAAGAGTTTTTGCTTTTTCTTCATTTAATTTTTTCTTTTTTTTTCGCTTAATAATGCCCATCGGTTGCGATTCTAGTCCACTTGGTAGTAAAATTTTGTTTTTTTTTCTATCTTTCTCTCACAAACATTCGCACGCAAATTTTTTTCATTTATACCGTTTTTTTTTATTTGCAACAATTCGTACAATCAAGTCGCCCTCGCGATTACACACGCCTTTCCGACATTTTTAATTTCTAAGACCTTAATTTTAAGGCGAACCTCGTTTTTTTTTAGACTTTTGATCGTTGAACTTTTCGCTTTTTTCTTTATTTTGAGTTTTAAAAAAGATTCACTTAATTTCTATATCGATTCGAAATTCATACTATATTTACAAAGTATTTTTCACACTACTTTTTGTCTCCGTATGTTGATCGAGGGAAAAAGCAATTTTTTTTTTTTTTTTTGACGAAGCGAAAAGATCACGATCGAAGGTTAAATTTTGGCGAGGATCTAAAATTTTTGCGTCGCACTAATTTGTACGCTAAAATTTTTTTTTTCTTTTTTTATTCTCTCTCTTTCTCTCCATTTTTTTATCGTCGAGATATTCGATCGTTATACAGCCTAAACATTGCCTAGGAAGTAGAAATTTAATATACGTAATCACCTTTTGTCTCGCATTCTCATCCTTAAAATTTCGGATAATTATATTTACAATCAAATAGTCCTGAAATATAATAAATCGATTCGTTTGTATTTTTGCCCTTTTCTCGTACTTTTACAAAAAAAACATCTAAAAAATTTTTATTTTTGTATCCAGACGTTTTTTTTCTTGTTTGTCTTTTTGTTTTTATTTTATAGTTTTTTCTTTTTTCTTTTTATTTTTTAGTTTTTTGTTTTTTTATTTTTTGTTCTTTTTCTTTTTTCTTTTTCGAACGCGTGGCACTCGAAAAGAGCAAAAATTCCCACGAATCTAAAAATCACGGTCGCATTCGGATTATATCAACTTCTGTAACATGAAATGACGATGATTTATTTATTTTCTCTTGTTTTCTTTTTTCATCGTTTTCTACACTTGGAACTCGCTCGTAACCGAAAGAGACTGGAACGTTTTTACAATAGACGATATGTTACATATTTCACGTCGTATTTTTTCTTTTGCTCTCTCTTTCTTTTCTGTTTTATTTTATTTTATTTTACTTTTTTTTTATAGAGTTTTCCCTGTTTCCAGAAATTTTGAAATTGTGCGCTAATTTCTGTCGTGACAAATAATCACCAATGTCAATACGAATATTTGATTTTTGTTTTCAAGACAATTTTTTATTCCTTGACAAGATTTTTCTTAGTAAAAAATTCTTCAAAAAGAAAATTCTTCAAAAAGAAAATTTTTCAAAAGGGAAATTCTTCAAAAAGAAAATTTTTCAAAAAGAAAATTCTTCGAAAAGAAAATTCTTCAAACAAAAAGATTGTTTTTTAATCATTT